AGATTAACACTAAACGGAGAATATTACCCTCACGAACGTTTACGATTAGATTTTGAAAAGAATGACTTCGTGGAAGCGCATCACAATTACACGGATTTCTACCCCAGTTATAAGGGATGTGAGGAAAAAACTGCGTTGCTTGACTATATGACTTTCAAAAACTGCGCGATTTTCGTCATCGACTGTTCTCGAAGAAACGACAGTGTAAAATCCAGCACTGTCGACGTAAAGTTAGACATCGAAGCAAAAAAGGGATTTCCCGCGAATACACGTGCCTATTGCATCATCATTCACGATTGTATCGTGGAACAACTACCGCTCAGCGAGATTGTTCGAAATCTAACATAAATACCGCCGGAGGAACCTAATCTTAACCAGTCATATTAAAAATGCGCATCGTTGCGGTAGATATTCAAGGCTTCCAGTTAGAAGATGGATTTGTCGTTAAAGAAATGGCTGTCTACAATGGATGTCAAATTAGTCATTACGTTTTGAAACCGCCGCGTGAATATTGCACGTTGACCGGTGCAGAAAAAAGAACGGTACGCTGGCTCGAACAATATCATCACGGTCTCAAATACAGTTCTGGTTTTGTTCAATATTCCGACATTGATACGTTGATCGGACTACTGATAGAAAATGCTGACTTGATATACGTGAGAGGAAGATCAAAAATGGAATTTTTAATGTCGAAAATGGATCGGGAAGGTGTCGCATGCAGAGTCATTAACGTGGAGAAATTCGACGATGATAATTGGTTGAATCCTCCGAAATTTCAACCGGATCACGCCCATTGCATGTTTCACTCCGGAGGAAGACTGCGCATGTGCGCGTTGAGAAATTCTGCCCTTTTATATAATTGGTTGTATTCAAGGATCCCTGTATGAAATAAAACTTTTTTTATTTAAATAAGACTTTTTATTTCAATCCAAAAAAATTAATAATACATTTACACGTAAAAATAAAGCACGCTAATGCTATGATATGAATACAAACTGCGAAACTGTAATCTATTGAAGTATAATTCTTTTTTCGTTCCATTTCTCGAGTAATATTCTGCGTCATCTCACGCAAAATAGCGACTAAAAGCGTTTGGTTCATCACTTCTCTTTGTTATTTTACCTATAAAAGATTAGCTAGGAACCGAATACATTTTAGTATTTTACTGACCTTGAACGAGATGAGAGTCTTGTTGCTATGCTACGCTGTCTTTACTACCTGTTCGGACGTGTCGACGATAGTCGCCGCGCTGCCCGAGGAAGGTGTGATTGAATATTTACAAAAATTCGGATTCCTTTCACCTAACGACAACGAATCTTTAACGCAGATCAATGCGTCGAGTTTGCAACGTGCCCTAATGGATTTTCAGGATTTCTATAATTTACCGGTGGATGGTACTCTTAATAACGAAACCGTCGAACTAATAAATAAACCCCGATGTGGTGTAATAGAAAATGCCTTCACGACTGTTTCGCGATGGCAGAAAACGGATTTAAATTGGTATATTCAAGTACCGCCCAGTCACTATCAAGAGTTAAAAGTGCTGGCAACCGAGGTTTTTAAAATATGGAGTGATGAATCAAATTTAAATTTTTTCTTAAATTACTCAGAGCCGGATATAATGATTTTGATGTCTGACAAATATACTACCCACAGACAAAGCATAAGATGTAAAGGGAACGAATCCTGCCCTTTTGCTTTTGACGGAAGGGGTAACATATTAGGACATGCATTTTTTCCAAATCAACAACAAGAGTGCGTGGAAGTTCATTTGGATAAATCCGAAGATTGGTACTACGGTTTAGAAGTGCCTGCGCCCGGAGGAAAAACGAGCTTGTTTACTGTGTTGTTCCACGAAATTGGACATACGTTGGGTTTGGCGCACAGTAACGATCGCAATGCCATTATGTACCCTTGGTATAGCTTAAATTCTAAGACATTGTCATACGACGATGTTGCAGGTCTTCAACGTTTATATGGTAAAAAAACCACAACCACCGCCCGCGTAACAACTCCGACCACAACAACATCAACTACCACTACTACCACAACTACGAAACCTCCGATAGGGAAAAACGAAACAAAAGTACCAGATTTGTGTCACGTAAATCCATCCATATTTTTGGTTACGTCTAACCATCATATGTATCTATTTTACGACAAATGGGTTTGGATAATAAGATTAGGTGATAAAGTCTACATGGAACCTAAAATGATATCAGATTATGTCCCTATTTACGCTCCTATTTCGCATATCTACCAGAGACCCAACGGACAACTTTTGGTAGTCACCGGTGATTCGTTTTATTTACTTCACTTCCCGAGTTTCACGGTAGTGGGCGACCGACAAAGCGTCCAGCGACTGGGTGTGCCTGCGGGTAAAACAGTGAACGCTATTTTTAATACGTATGGCGGTCGAACGTATATATTTTACGGTAAACGCTACTATGCAGAAATAGACGAGTGTTCTTTGAGTGCGAGTGAACACGGTTTTACTACGGAACTGTTTCCGGGTCTGCCCGACGATTTGTCGGGCGCGTTTCGATACACCAACGGACATTTGTATTTTTTCAAAGAGAAAACGTATTACGAATACAACGAATTTTTGAATAAATTAACGAGAGTCGGTGAAATAGACTTGAGTCTTGTCGCAATTAATTGTCCCACAGAGAGTGTCTTTAAACAAATTAGAGATTTGTTAAGAAAGTTATCGATCTTTCACAACAATGAATAAGAAGTTAGTTTTCTTCGACGATTTTAGAAGCTTGGATACCGATCAACTTGAATTGATTCCTGTGCAACATTTTTTGGAGCATGTGAGACCGCACGATTTGTTAAATATGTGGCATAAGTTACCAGTACGACATCGCAACAATTTTGAATTGCAAACTCATTTGCCCTGCTTTGTTCACTATAACAGACCGGACAGCAAAATGCATATCGACGGCCCGGCACCTCCCCAGAATAAATGTCATTATTGTTTGAGTGTTATAAAAGCAGTTACCGAGATATAGCATAGATTCATTCGGGCTAGAAACATGGTTTTGTTAAGTGCTCACTTTGTTTTGTTGTCGGCTGTGGTACAAAACGTTTTCTATATACATAAACCTAAGGATGTGATTGAAGCGTTCGTTTGTTTCAAAAATCGGTGCATTTGGCCCGATACGTGGACGCGTATGCAACTCGCTCAGGTCAACGGAATCGACAAGCTACAAACTTTTAGCGTGTCATTGTCGAATAACACTACCGCAGATAAGCCGTATTTAAATTACAAGGTACGTTTCGTTTTCGCGAACCGGAGCTACGAAGACCACGGCGAATGGCAAACGATCGCTATCAAGAATTCCAATAACACCAGCGGCGGCGTTAACGACAATTGCGGTAACGAATACAACATCTCGGCAGATCGAAAAACTATTTTAATCCCGCTATATGTAACTACGTGCGCTTGTTTGCTTCTTTTGGCAAAATGCTTATTCAAATTGACTAAATGTAAATATCTCTCTTAATTACACCGATAGTGGGGGGTTGTTGATATATAAGTACATTTGAATTTGATACCGAAGTCAGTCTGTTTGTCGCAATGTGTAACAAAGTGGTCACTATCGATGAAAACACGATTTTCGAAATAAAGAATTCAGGTGTCCGTTTCATCTTCAAGAACAAGCACATAGATTTTCAAGTCCAGGATTTTTGGGATTTTTTGTTCTTTCTGGAGGACGAGGTGGGAGAAATCATGTTCTGGAACGACATAACAGTCTACATCGGGAGCAGTATCGAGGTGACCTATTCGAACGAAGAAGAGAGCTGTGAGTTGATACTGAAACAGGATCATGGCGACGAAATTATCCTCGACCGCGATGAAGTAGAAAATCTCATGGACCAGAAACACCGCTTGTACGAAGCATTACGTTGTCTACATATGAGCTAATAAATATTTACTATTGTATCTATAGTTTTTCTTTTATTAAACCGTGATTATTGAGACACTCTGTATAAGTCACTCGACTTGTTTACCGACGACCCGATCACCCGCGTCACCGCGCCACACCGTCTCCGCGCCGCACCGTCACCGCCCTCTACCGGGGGGGCCTACGACGGTCGGAGCGCGCGACATCTAGCAGCGACGGGCGGAACCGGGGCAAAACAGGACGCTACACAAGCGCGCGACATCTAGCAGCGACGGGCGGAACCGGGGCAAAACAGGACGCTACACAAGCTGGGTGGGGGGCGGAGCGCACTCTGGTAGACAGGGGGGACACTAGGACGCCACGCGCGGGGGGCCCCCGCTGCGGGGGGGTTAGGAAATTGAGGTTATGTACGGTTTCTGTTGCTTATATCGGCACTATACATCTACTGTGAAATACAGGTACAGAGATTTTAAAAATGCGTTATGTATTTTTTCGATCCAGTCAATACAATTCAGCGCTGAAATTTTCCAAACATTATTGGTCGAAGTGTGGTCTGACTAACCTAATAATAAAACTTTGTGAATTTCTTACTAAGAAGTCTGGACTGGAAATATTTACCCTTACTGTTTACCTCGCTGTTGTTAATTACATGCTGAAAAGTGATCACATTTTGCCTTAAAGTATATGTTATTAATTTACATTCTGTTTTGCGCTACCCAACCCACAGCCCTGTCCAAATCAGCCTGCAATTAGTTATAGTCCTACAATGAGATACAATAGTGCGCACACAAGATAAACAACAGAGGTCCCAAATTGCTTCTTTGGGGTACTCCAGATGTTGCATCCGAATTCCCCTTTCCTATTTTTACTTTCTGAAGCCTCATCCTCAAGTAAGGCCTCATAAACTGATATGCAATCTTAGAATAACCAAAATTGATTAACTTTTGTAAAAGAATTTGATGGTCACCTTATCAATATATATGACATGTAGTTGCTTCTAATATATCATGTGAAGTGAACTTCATGAGAGAACGATGTTGTCACTATTTGTATTTAAATTTTAAAATTTAAGGTATAAACGGTACTAGCCTGTATTTGCTCCGGTGACGAGGGCCGTTTTGCCTACGAGACAGGTTTGGCTGAGGCACCAAGCGCTCGTCAGTTTCAAGTAAAACTTGAAAACGACCAGAAACCACGCGATGAACGCCCCAGAGTAAAACATAACACTCAGCAGCGCCATTCAGCGAACGCAATGTTTACGACCACAAATTACCATTCGCACTACAATGGTCGGGCGACGCGGTGCGGCCAGTAGAAACGATTGAAAAAAAAACTGTAATCGTTAAGAATAACCTGGATGTAGAAGTAATTATTGACGAGGTAAATGACAATGTTTCATTGTTGACGAAAATTTATGCTGTTGTTTTGACGGCCGATGATTTTTTCCAAGTCTACCAGCGTTTTTAGCGTTTCGGGGAAATTCGTTATCATTATTATATGTTGCCCTTACGTGACGCAACCTTGTTTGAATTAATTTCGTGACCTCCAACCGTTGTATTTTTAGTAGGCATTTTCCGCCAGTTTGATGTAAACAGCCACAGAAGAGTGGGAGATGAGGAATAGTGAAAATGAAAAAGCAGCTAGACGAAAATATTTATAAAACGCTATTGAGATAGTCCACCGAGGAAGAAAACGTTTGTGGGGTTTATGCTTTTTCTAGTGGATAACCAGATGGTTTTGTCTATCTACCGCAATTGATAAGGTACTTAGTAGAATGTATTCACTCTAAGTTGATAGAATTTACATATGGGCTGTCCTCTGCTATTGTTTTAGACCTTTATTACTCACATCGCTACCACTCGCATGTGAAAAGATTCACTAACTACGATTACAGCGAGGGATTGGCAGCCCTGTAGCGCAAGCAATCGACCAACACGGTTAGTTAGTGAAACCCAGTAAAGAACTGGATCGACTTCTTAATAATCGGGGAGTGTTTATAGTATATATTGTATAGCTCCAAATGACCATTGGGCACAGAACCGGGATTTTTTTGTTACGTCAATTGTTTTGCTTTAAACATTATGTTGCAATTGTTGACAACTTTTTGTTGTGATGCCGAGTACTTAACGAGGTACTTAATTTGTCGACATTTTCTAACAAGGTTATAAACAAAATTGCAAAATGTTTCGGTAATTACCTGCTATACGTAATTAATTGTTTTATGATCGCCTTGATCGCCTTCGCTTACGTAGGGACAGACACTGTTGTTGTAGTATTGTTTCCAAATTGGAGACATAGGCAATTATTATTAATTGATAAGTATCCCATTCTGCTTGCAAGCGTTCTTCTAGATAACTAAATAACAAGAATAATCTTGATTTCAATTTTAATATATACGATGAGTTGCGGAGAACGTAACTCAAAAGGACTCTTGAGCTGATTTATACACCAATATATTTTTTGTTTGTATACATTTCAGGCTTTCGGTAGCTCCAAACCTAAAAAAAGAAAAGAAATCTGACATTTTCAGAGACATTTTGAACTACTAAGTCAAAAGATACGCAATAGTAAGGTCAGCAATTAAAAATCTTAGATTTTTTGAAAAGTTATTCCATTAAAACTACTGTATAACTAAGCCAAGTCATACTCAAACGAACGCTTGAAACTGGCAGTTCTATAATGTGGAACAGAAACTCCATAAAAATTACGAAATTTAGAGTGTCTACATCAGTCCTGAAAGTTATTTTTTCTACTCCCGTCTGTAAAATATCTAATTATCCACCGACCTAGCGTGTGGCAAGCGTCACTTTACCACGTAAATTTCGTGGCCCACGAATCCGAGCCACTTCGGACATTTCCGGGATTTTACCGCACGGATTTGGAAGCAATGGGATGTTTTCGGAGATATTTCCAACGCTCTGAATTTTGACGTTTGTCAATTCTGACAGTCGTGTCGTGTTGTTTCACGAAAATGTACCCAAAAACTAACGGTCGCAGAAAAAGAATAGTATGCAACACGTTTGGTAAACTTTTTAACTCACTAATATACTATTTTCTACTACTGTAAAATACCTCTCATGAAATATATCTCTCCAAAATATATCTGGAATTATATGCATGTCTGAATGCAGATTGAAAGATATAATGGCAAGTGGAAATGTTTTCACTTTTTGATAAAGGAATTAGAGAATATCAGTGTAGTACAAGACTAATTGCATACTGCAAATTAAACAGGGTGACATTACATACACTCTATAGCATTGCTCGTTTTGCTTATATTACATTTGATGACGACAATGGTTATACCGATACCAATATCTGAGTGTCTGACCGCTTGGGTGTACTATCGGTCACAATTTATTGAGGTCAGACTAAGGTGTGACAAATGTAACAGATACATTGTCCCAATCGGAAAATTGTTGTATCGACAATGTACTCAACATATCATTAGGCGTGTAAAACCACGCCATTTAACTATGTGAACTAATTCCGTCGTAGAAAACATTAAAATTGGACCTGAAATTGGCCGTTTCATTTCGTTAAAGCAGTCATGACGTAACGAACTACAACCGTTTCTAATAATGTTTTTAGAATTTTGTTTTTGTAACAATTTAAACTGTCGGAGGTAAAAAAGTTTTGCAAATTTTCATACTTGTATACTATGCATAATGTAGAAACCCTACATTTTTTGTAGGGTTAGTGAAATATAAAAAATAGGTAAGAGGAGAAAAAAATGAAAAAGTAAGATTTAAATTTAAATCTTTGGTATAGTGATTTGATAAACTTCAAGGTATTTAGATTTGGTTGTATATTGTTTTCTTTCTTATTTGTCTTTAAAGTGATTAGTTTTGGCTTGAATTGAAAACTAATTATTACAATTAAGATTTCTATCTAAAATACCATTATTTGCTAAGTAAAAATGTATTCTATTCTACTTATTAAACAACGGCAAAGCGCTCGTCGATTACTCGCCGCAATGTAACAAAGAAAAAGGCAATTTTTCATCGTTGATTAAATTTGTTATGACTGCGACGTGAAGACCACTCAAGCCCGCGTAGGTCGAGGCATAAAACGACAGATTGGATTACGGGAGTTGCAACAGCAGAGGTATAAACATAGATAACATTTTTGATATAAAATTACCGAAGACAAAATAACATCGGTATCGAATGATACTGAAACCGACTGCGCAGAGTGCGTTCACCTTTCGAATGTAAATTAAACAGTATTTGATACGACTTGACTGTTAAAAATCTAACCATGAATGAATGGAAGCTTTGTACCAATGGAACGGTGTTGGTACGGGAGCTTCTGATACGAAGGTTTTTTTCGTCTGATCGACGTTTGCCGCGACTGATAAGATAAAGCGGGAAAACCCTTTTAATATTATAACTAGCGCACCTTGAGTTTGATGTATCGACGTAGCTAGCAAGGTGAGGAGAGGCTGAATTTTGTCGGAAATTAAAGCTATTTAGTCAAATAGTTATTTATTTCCCAACTATGAGAAAAAACGTTAATGCGCAAGTGGAGCACAGTTAATCAATTATCATCAATGCGAAGCCAAGCAATTTTTAAACGTGATTTTCTTCCCGAAAGTGTCTGTGTGACTAGCGGTACAGTAAGCTTTTATTTCTATTGATTATATCGAAATTTTCATCATTCAAAATCAGATAAAATGTGTCGTCTCAATATAAAACAAATAGGTTACTGTTTACTAGTCCACAATTCTACATTCATGTGTGAATTTAGTTTAATGAAGGTGTTTTATAAACCCTGCTGTATCTGAAAGTGGATGAAAAATGGAAAAATGGCTTACAGATATACAGAGATAAAATTTTTCTACGAACTTGTTGAATGATTTGGCATTAATCTCTAAAGAAACAGCCTCGTCTTTTTCACTATTTTTTAGAAGATGGTAATTCCGTCAACACCGACAAAGTATAATTATTTTCTAAATTCTACCCAAAAAATATAGAGCTGATTAAAATTGAGCGCAAATTCATCATTTCATTTCCCCTTTCTTTTAGGTAATTTAACAAATGAAAAAGTTTAAAAAATTAGAGTGGTTTATATTTTTTAATATATACATTACATCACACTTCAACAAGCACTGCAGGTTTTCATCATATTTCTACAATTTATATTTTACTATAGGTACTTATAAGTCATTCCATAATTTATAATCACAAAGAAAAAAAAGAAAAAATAAATAAATTATCATAATGAGAACTCGGTGAAACGAACTCTTACTCTGACGTTTTATTACTCCACCCAAGGGAATTTCATTCCGATCATTTTTCTACACTATTCGCCTCAGGGTCATTCGTTGGTACGTCATTCCCCAAAACAGCCCATTCAAGAGGCTGATCTCTGCTTTCACTGTGTCATTGGGACCTTGTACCACATTCGCGAAATTCTTTTCGATATCGCGCCCGCTTTTGAACTGGAATCTTCGACGCGATGGCAAAAAATGATCACTTAAGAATGAAAAAAACGCGACGAATAATAAAAGGCTTCTTCTGCGGTCGTGTTTTGTTAAGCGTGTCAAGACTCTCGAGAGTTCGAGTTAAAAACGGCCGAAAGGAAAGCTAAAAAGGTATTTATTTACCCAAGTAATGGTATTTACTAATTAGCCTTTAAGTTGGCCGGTCTAGAATTACGGTTGTGTGAATGAGAGGCTGCACAATGGGAATCTGATATCCGAACCCCTGCGATTGGTTTGGTCGTGTGTAAAGGATCGCCGTGCGTTGTGTTTGTTTTGTTGAAATTTGCGGTTTTTAACCCGATTTGAGACAATTCTTTTTAAATTTTCAAACAACTTTTCCAATTTAAAGATATAGAAAATGTAGAATATAAACATAGCATAAACTACATTGTCCGTTGTATTGTTCGAAGAACAAGTTGGAATTGGATAGTTTTTCTATGTCGAGTTGGTTCGAACTATATTTGAAACATATGTTAATTTTATCGAAGCAAAACCACGGGAATGCATTGATCGTATTAAGGAGTTATTGGTTGTTGTTACATTTAAGATAAATAGATGCCGCTGCAACAAAATAAGCGAAGGAAAAGGTTAGTGTTGGCTAATACATTAACAAAGAGTGGTATAGGAGATGAGGAAGTACCTTTTGTCACTGTTCACGACATTCACAAAATAACACAAACATACGTTGAATTTCTTCTCTGAAATATTTCTTTTTCAATACACTAAATTCAGATGAGATGATAATAGAAATGGTCAAATCTCCATAGCATTTGTTCGGAGCAATGAACTTTTCTTAAATGACTGTGATGACCAATTTTATAAGATTGCAATAAATTTCACAAACTGCACACATTGTTGTATGAAAATCGATAATAGAAACCGTTTGTTCCATTAGTGGTATTTTGCTAGCCTGTTTGGTTTGGTTGGCGCACAGACTTTTATTTGTTTAGAGATAAGATCAGTACTTATCTATATTTGTGTGTAATAACTACAATTTTCACAACAAATCGAAAAAGAGCAAATTATATAATAGTCCCTTATGATTTTTTTTCATCTCTCACCGGAAGATTTGTAGCAGATTTTACCATACACATGTAGTGCTATTTATTTTGTTTTTAATACCCCTAGAAGTTAGAAGAAAAATTCAACATGCTGTAGTTTTATCTTATTAAGTTGAATATGCTGGCGCGTAACCTTTCTTGATCACTTACATCAAAGAGTTTAGTAAAATATCACAAAATGTGCGCGTCTCTCGTTTCTTTGGTGAATCGATCATTTTCACAAACTTTCTGATAATCTAGGGCAGATACTACTTCTACTTGAAAATCTATGTCTCACAGATTTACTTTTTTTGTCCGCCAAGCATTACACTCACGAGTAGTGTCAGCAGCCGTTTTAAATATGTATATAGCTTCGATAACAGCATCTACACTGAAGCAATATAATATACATTTGAAGTTGTGGTGGAGTTTTTTGTGGTGCAAAGAAGCAGAGATGTTTTGGTGCCTCTATTCCACTTATTATAGAGTTCCTCCAAGAGGAATTTGACAGAAGGGCTTCTTACAGCACCCTTAACTCTCGTAGATTTTTAAGGGAAGTCGACCAAGATTTACAAATACGTGGGACCCGGCCCTGGTTTTAAGCTACCTTAGAACTTTGAATATCAAAACAACTTCCTTAAAGCTTTTTTCCTGTAAATTGGCTATGCTTTTAGCGTTCGCTTCTGGACAAAGGGTTTCAGACCTTATTGAATTAAAAAATATATCATGTATGTGTTAATATTTATATTCAGCCAAGAGTAAAATCTTCCGGGCTTAATAAGCTGCAACCTGTAACTTTTCTATATACAAAAAATAATTAATAAATAAATTACTGCTGTCCTTCAACAAACCTTATCGCCCGCATCATTTCAATCGATCTCACGATGGATTCATGAAATAATGCAAAATGCAGGAACTGATATACAGCAATTTGGTTCTCAATCAAGGCATCAGTTGTCCATTTCTCAAGTGGATATAAAGATCCATAGATAGATACCATTAGATCTGCAACCGGTTGGTCTAAAAATTCTATGAACTTCGCAATTTTTATAAGAGGCTCATCCACAATATAATATAGTTTTACAGAAGCGATTTTGAGCTCTTGAGATTTATATAAATATGTTTCTAATGGTTTGATTCGTATTAATTTAATATTTTTTTCCGCACTTCTGCTCAGATTTTAGTAGTAGTTTAAAGCAAAAAGCAACTTATCAAACTATTGCAAAATCTAATCCGATTTGTGGACAAAGACAATAAATAATGTAACGAAAGCCTGACAGCCTCTGAAGACTTAATCTAACATTATAGTTCAACACTTAATAAATTAAATAACAATCCTGCTTCTAGCCTTTCTATTCTTTTACTTTACTTAGTCCAGCAAGCGGTGGACCGAATAGTGATATGCCTTTCAAAAAGGTTTTGAAGTGGCAGCATGCCTTAGACTATAGGCTGTAAAATGTGAAGATCTACCACACTTGAAACAATTATAAACTTAATTCACCTAATAATAGTCTGTGTCCCCACCGCCGTAGCGGTTTCTTAAACGAAACAAACAAGTTTTTCACATTACCCGTTAAAAGCTTGGTCGTTTCCATATATTGTACAAGAGTACTTGTTACACACAGTTCTGCTTTTTCCTCAATAATAAAACTAGGAGCAGTTGAAATTTACCAGGTCCCGATGCCTTACTAATATCACGTATACTAATATTGTTCTTATATATTTTTTTAAATATTATCAATATCTATAATGGTAAACTTCTGTGCCCTATGTGCACTCATTTTTTGTAACGACAAAGACTCAATAGGAAAATGTACTGATGAAACAAGTGACATGTCCCGTATTTTCTCATATTTGCATCTTTTTCTAAAAATCCCTTTAAAATATTTTGTTACTATTTGACATTTGCATGTATCAGCTTTATATGAAATTAAAGAAGTCGCTAACCTTATGGTGTTCAGAGTTCCATAAGAAACAGCCCCATTAAATTTCTGAGTGAGAAAATTTATCAAATCATTAACAGCAAATTTAAATGGACATATTCTATTAGTCAAACAAAAAAAAAAACGCCACTGTTTTATTGCTGAATCATATCGCTTAAGTACGGGGTTAGAGATAGACGCTAACAAAATATCATAGATGACACTAAAAGATTCCTTAGGGAATACGCTTCGCTGATGCACGTCCTGCTATCAACGTAAGATCAGGTTTAAAAATAACGGGATCCTCTAAAAGCAGAGAAAGAAATCCCGGATACCAACCATGAGGGTACAAGTAAAATTCCCTCCGATTTTTTCAATATTATTTTCTTCAAAGCACTTTGCATTTTTGTTCACTTTTGATGCAAAACAATCAATCTTTCATCAAATTTTCTAAGTATTTTCGTAAAAGCTCAATTTGCTAATTGCCATTCTGTATTTATTTCTCTGATTCTAGATTGTTCATCTGCAATCGAATTATCCCTGGATGGGATGTATGTGGCAAATAACCATATGTTGCGAAGTTCACACCATTACCAATTTGACCTAGTTAACGAGAAAAGTGAACACCCCCCCATTCTCTTTATATATAATATTGCTGTCGTACATTCTGATCTAATTAAGATTTGGCAGTTTTCTAAGTCTTTTGCAAAGCACTTTACAGCAATGACGTTTGCCATCAGCTCTAGTTAATTTATATAGAACTGATTTTCTGGTATATTTTTTGTTTTTAGGCTCTGAATTGGTGGCGTGACCGGCCAGATCATTACTAGATCAAACGCACTTTCCTTTAATGAAGTTCGATCGTAATTATATGAAGTCTCATCTAAGTAAATAAGACCCGCCCTTCCCTCATCTCCCTTTATTTTTTTAGCTGTAATAGTTTTCAGCAAGATCTTTAAAAAATGAATCATAGGAGCCGCGGACCGTCGCGGGTACACAGAGTTCTTTTGCTTTGAAATTCGTGGTATTCAGCATGGAGTGGGGAAACTACGTTTGATCTTATTTACTTAAACGAGGACTTCATATATTTACGATCGAATGTCATTACAGGCAAGTTCGTTTGATCTAATAACATTAGAGTAGATTGTGTTAGAACAGACTTGTTCGGCGAACAACGCAGACAACGAACGATATAGTTCGTGGGAGCATCGTAGAAACATGTGCTAATAACCCGCGGATAAATTGCAATGGCTGCTCGGATTTGGTTTGGATTAATGTCTTTGACCTATATCATAAATCGTACTCAAAATGTTTATGTTCCGTAAACCGCGGTTCAAAAACAAATATTCCGCAGGCGCTTGACCAAGCAGTTCGCGAACTCAGCTGACGAATGGCATACGCGCACGTATGCCGGGCAGTTCTACGTGCCATTTGTGCCGTCAAAAGGCCCCGGCATTTTGCCCGTTCGATGGAAGACGCATTCCCGGCGGATTCCGCCGGTGAATTTACACGACTTTAATATCCAGTTACGCGATTTTTCGTCGGACGAAAAAAAAGAAACGGGTCGATGATCGCGTAACGTTAAATGCAGACATAGGCGTAAAGTTAAAAGCGCCCCCTATGGGATATTAACACTATTATGAGTGCGTGAGGCAGG